AGGAGCTCCTAGTAGCGATGCCGTTGCTAGTAAGGAGTTCTCTGAGGCCTGTTTTAATCAGCAGTTCCTGCTCTGGTGGCTCCTTGACCATCAAATGGACGGTGCCTGAGGACATCGACACGCGACACAGTGGTCTCGAGTAGCTTGTGTAAGCACGTGTGTATGTTGTTTATGTTTATACTATATATATTGTTTAACCTGAAGAAGAGACTACACATCTAGAGTCTAGAGAGTTTAGATTGTTTATGCGGATTGGCCCTTTTTACAGTCCTTTTTGTTGCTCTCTTCGCAGGATGATGGTGGCTGTCCAGTGCCAGGGATCCCAGACCAGAGAGCTGTCGGACATCCAGTCCCGAAGCGGTGATTTTGAGCCGGGAACCTTCGTAGTAGCGAGACTTCGTTGTCTTGTTTTCTTAGCGAGATTGACATGATGAACTTCCAAAACGACAGGATCCGCTACCGCATTCTTCGAGATGATGTGGCCACTGGCACAGAGGCAAGATTGCAGGGTTTTATGATGCTTCTATTTTTAAATCTTGACAAGGGCATCGCTACTAGTAGTAGCTAGAAGCTACTAGTAACTTCACCTTAACACTGGTTCAAATCTTCTCACTTACATCCAGCTTTTGACCTTGTAAGAACCAGGTTTTAAGATGCCTTGAGGACCTTCTATTTGGCTTTTCCGGCTGGTCTAGCAGTCTAGCATGCTTCGTCCGGAGGTGCCATCAACCACAGTCTCCTACTTTACAGCAGGCAAGGGGGAAGAGGGGCAGGTGAAAGCATCTAAGCCGCTTGCTACGTTCGTAGCGAACCTTGTTACTGGTATGAGTAGTAAGGCCAGGAGCCCCTAGTATTAAGATCACGCGGACCCAGACAGCAAGGGGTCAAGATGAAAGAATTAAAAGAAACAACAACCTACTCAAAAAATCTCAGACCAGAAACTCTGATTCCAAAGCCACTCAAATGAGAGACTCAAATTGGACTCAGATTGGACTCAAATTGGACTCAGATTGGACTCAAATTGGACTCAGATTGGACTCAAATTGTACTCAAACATGGTTTTTGAGTTGTTTTTGAGTTTTTTTTGAGTTTGTTTTGAGTTTTGTTGTTGAGTTTGTTTTGAGTTTTGTTGTTGAGTCTGTTTTGGATTTGAGTTCTTGAGTTGATTATCTTTTGATTATTTTTGGTTTTTTAATTTTTCAATCATTTCAGCCCTGTCCGGTCGCGGCGGGATCACAACCCTAGTAGCGTCCTTGCTCGTAGTAGTGAGGCTAGTAGCTTCTTGTTAGCCGCTTCTTTGAAGTTGCTAAGTCGCGCAGTGCCATTTTGTTCACTCTGAGGTTTAGAATGCGCCACCACATACCGTTGGAGCATCCAAGCTAAGTCGTACACTGAGCTGACACGCTTCTTTTCGATCTCCGACGAGAGACATTTAGTATGCACATATAGGAATATAGATGTTCTTGCATATAGATGTTCTTACATATATGAATTGTATAAAGTTGCATATAGATGTTCTTTGTTTCTCCTTGAGCGGTTGGGATGGGTTGCCCGAGGGGCCTGAGGGGCCCGAGGGGCCCGAGAAAAGGTTCCAAACCGAGCCCTAAAGCCCGTTCCAAAGCCCTCCACGGTTGGGTTAGAGTCGATGCTTCGAATGGCTGAAGGAGCACCCCATGCACCAGCCATGCGTCGACTTAGGAATTGCCTGGACACCTGGGGGAGCGACTCGCCCTATTTGGAGACCTATACGGCCTCTTTGCCAGGGCAGGTCACAGGTCTTAATGCCTGGAACTCAAAGCGAGTCACAGGACACATAGCAGTGATGCCCTTTGCTACCTAGTAGCTTCCTATTACTTATCTCAACATCGGATTTTCCTTCCACGACGCTTCAGAAAAAATTGCACACTCCGCAAAAAATCATCATCTCACTGCACATGTTCCATTTGGCATCTTGCAAGGCAACCCACGTGTCTTCCACCGAACTGCTCTTCAACTGGATGCCACTTCTGGGAACCACAGAGCCATAGACCCAGCTGATGCAGTTCTCGTTTGACTCGTTTGAGGTGATGCCCTATCCTCTTGACTCCGGACCCGTTTCCAAAACACCGCCCGAACCGCCCGAACCGCACGCCGTTTCCCAAAAACGTCGTCCTCTTCGCCTCCGAGGATTGGTTCCACGGATTTTTCGATCCTTCGAGGCTATGAGCTTTGGATGGACGACGGCCTGGGAGGCGGTGCCAAAACGCAAAGACCGGGCACGCACGGGGCGGTCGAGCCTTTCTTTTGAAGGCAAGTAGAGCCCAGTAGAGCCCTGGCTCCTTACTTCATCAAGTAGAGACTGTCGACTTAAGGAAATCATTCAGGGAATAGGCTCCGAGCTACTTAAACTACTGCATAGGGACGCAGGATTAGTGCTCGCACTAATGATGTGGATCGATTTTGGGGATCTAAGCTGACAAATCAGCACCAAGTTGTCCATGCGACCGGCAGGGAAGTTTAGCCGAACCTATGATGGATACAACAAGCCCTTTGAGACCTACTTTGTTGCCACCGGGCTAGTGCCAGAAGCCCAGTGCAAGCCAGAGCGACCATGATAGAAGGCTCCATCAACCACCACTTGCAGATGAAAGGAGCAAAACAACATGAACATGTTCAAGATTCTTCAAGCGTTCGGCATGTTCCAAATGGTTCAAAAGCTTTTTACGCTGAAGAAAACGCCTGTGTAAGTCGTCCATTTTTCTCGGTTCCAACCTGTGGCTTTTCCTTCCAAACCGCCTGTCAATCTGCAGATCGAGGCCAGGGCGTGTCTATCGTTCTTATGTGCGTGGCATCAACCTGGTGGGTGCGGGTCCAGACTCTGACGCGGCGCTGCCATGCTTGGAGCCATGCGCCATGGGCTGCGCCATACACGCGGAGCATCAGCCAAGCAGCAAAGCCACAACTAGCGCCGCTCAGAGCTTCCAACCTAATAGGAATGGCCTCCAACATCATTGCAAGAAAAAACACATGTCAAGCAAACCTACAGTGATTCTTTGGGAGTTTGAGGCAGCAGATCCTCCGGATTTGGAGGATGAAAGGGCAGCTCCAAGGGCTCACTAACAGCTGGTACTGAACCAGGGGGGCCTTTTGTTTTTTGTTTGTTTTTTTGAAGACGACGTAAACACGAATGAAGAACCAAACCGCCACGTGGTCTTGTCTTGATAGAACATCACCTCAGCTCCGGTTGGTCGCGAACGAGCCAGGTCTTGTACCGCGCGATGGCTGTGGAGCCTTCAGCTCCCAGCGGCCTGCAGGCGAGCCAAAAGGAGTGCGAGCTAAAGAAAACAGACAAACAAAGGGAGTGGAACAAGAAAACTCTTCCTTTTTCTGTCCTTTTCTTCAGTGAGGGCACCTAGCCGCTACTGGACGCAGCATAGCGCTCACTATTCATTTGGTTCCCAGATTCTCTTTTTGCAGATTTATATAGCTTTTGCTGGTATTCATATTCTTACGTAGATGTCGTTTTCTTGAAGCTCTTTTTAGAGTTGATGTTGGAGAAGACTTTTTCAAGAAAGGCTTCAAGAGGATCGTGGTTTCAGGTGGAAACGGCCGGTGCTGAGACGGTGCTTTGCAGCTGGAAGCCTCCCCAGGACCGGGGAAGTAAGGCACGTGGACCTCATGGCCACCCTACCCGTAGTAGCTTCTTGTTACTAGAAGCGTCCTTGTTCCTAGTAGTAAGGCCGGGAGCCCCTAGTAGCATCCTTGCTCCTAATAGCGATGGCCTCCAACCTAATGGCGATGGCCTGAACTAGTAGCGCCAATGTCTTAGTGACATTCCTAGGTCCGGTTTGTGATGTCTTATCTGCTTGTTTAGATTCACTTTCATGACCTCCAGGACAATGGCGGAGAGCCAGTTTTGCACTACGTCTTGGAGTATGCACCCGAAGTTGCCTCAGGGGCTGGATGTTTATTCAACCCTCCAACATTTTTTTTCAACCCTAACCTTTTTTTTCAACCCTCCAAGACGCTTTTTCAACCCTGGGTTGGAAAAAAATGTAACCCCTACTAAATCAACCCATGGTCCGTATATTCCAACCTTTTTTTTTCACCCTGGAAACATGCCTTTTTCACCCTGGAAACATGTTTTTTCCACCCTTGAACCTTTTTTTCCAACCCATAAACATGCTATTTCAACCCTATGACACGCTATTCTAACCCTGGGTCGCACCGTGGGGGGCTGGCCTTTCAGTCCTAGGATGTAGCCGCCTTCGTCGGAAGCTCGAACGATTCGGCCGCCCTATTCTGCTATCGCTGCTGGTCCTTCTCCACCGTCTTCCTTTTGCTTTGGCCTTGCTGGCTGGCTGCTGCCAACCTCCACCTGCAGCTTCCGCTGCTGCCGCTGGTGCTGCTGCTTACTGCTTTGCTGTGCTGCAGCCACTGCTGCTACCGCTGCTGCCGCCGCCGCTGTTGCCGCTGTTTGTGCCGGCGCTTCCTTTTTGCTTAGCTGTTGCTGCTCTGCTGGTTTGGATGCATGCTCGTGCTCAGAAAGAGTCGGCAGCGCACGCAACATCGCCGCTCCGGGCGACATGTTCCCAGAACAAATATGCGTGGTGCACTTTTTAAAGATTGTCAAATGGTCACAACAGACCGAGCCCTCTGAAATCCCGAATATCATGGCTACTATGCACGCCCTCCTACACCCAGGCCCCCCCTGTTGAAACCTATGTTCAGACATTAGTAAGGCCTAAGCAGGCTTCAAACCTCAGTTTCTACTCGGTAGGCGCTCAACACAGCATGGAACTCTTACTGGGATGTTGTTTTCGGGCTGGGTGTTTTTTATGCTAATGGTTTTTTTCTTATGCTCATAGCGGGGTTGGTGTGCTTTTGGGGTATGGGTTTCTTTTTTGATGCTTATAGTGCTTTTTTTATGCTAATGGTTTTTTTCTGTTGTGCTTGCAGTTCTTTCTTTTTTGCTCCTGGTTTCTTTTTTTATGCTAATGGTTTCTTTTTTTATGCTAAGGGTTCTTTTTTTTATGCGGCACTGTGGGAAGAGGTCACGTTGGGGGGTCCTAGTGCAGAATGTAATTGTCAGGAGGGTTTAGTGCAGAATGTAATTGTCGGGAGGCTTTAGTACAGAATGTAATTGTCGGGAGGTTTTAGTACAGAAAGTAATTTTCGAGAGGTTTTAGTACAGCAAGTAATTGTCGGGAGGTTTGAGTACAGAAAGTAATTGTCGGGAGGTTTTAGTACAGAAAGTAATTGTCGGGAGGTTTTAGTACAAAACGTAATTGTCGGGGGGCTTTAGTACTGAATGTAATCGTCGGGGAGTTTTAGTACAGAATTAAATGTCGGGGGCCTTTAGTATCGAATGTAAGCGTCGGGGTGTTATCGAATGGACAATTATTCATGAACGAACCGTTCAGTGAAAGGTGATGCATCCGTCAGCAGAAACCGAAAAGTGATGAGTTCCAGTATCAACTGATATCAGAACGGTAGAAATGTGGCCAAATGGGCTCCAGTCAGAAATCAGGGTCGCTTCGTGCGGTGTCTGTGTGGGTCCGTCCGGCATGGGTGGGCAGTGATCAAGCTCCTCTCTCGTTGGATCTCCTCGCTGGAGTTTTTTGGTTTCCGCCAGCAAAGAAGTTTTCATCGGGGAAGAGTTTGCATGTCACCATCCAAGAAAAGACGCGACTTCCACAGAGCCTCTGCTCATGCCACGCGTCAGAATGCTTCCGATCGAAAACAGGGCCGTTCTTCTGCCAGCCGTTGTTCTTCCCGACGCAGAAGGGCTTTGTGGCTGGCATGGAGGGCAGATGGCCATTCCACCATTCCAGCAGACAAGGTTTGGTTGTTCTACCGTCTCGCCCTTGCCGCCAAAACTGGAACTGGAGTGTTGGGTGAATTTCTTTGCAATTCCTTGCCTGTGCAGCCGCCGGTCAGAACTCGGCAACGAGATGTTTTTCCCTTGGCCCCGCTTGCGATGATTGTTTGCGTGTTTTTGAATCTTTCTCCAAGGGCCCGAAAGACGAATATGCAAAATTGGTTGTCAAGCAGCTGCGGTGTGGTAAGTTGAGTTTAGCAACTTTTTGCAAGGGTGGTGGTACCACTTTCGCTGTTGGGAAGCCTGGGGGTGAACGCCTGAGGGAGGTATGGCGCGGCCGACGTGTTTCAGAATCAGCTTCTGCACCTCCAAAGCCGAGACACTTGGCTTCCCCAACTGCGTTGACCTTTCTGGAGTGCAGCGATGGAAGACCACTACGCCTTAGCAAGCGCGATGCTACGTGTTGGTTTGACCAGTTGAAGCTTCCCAGCTCTCTTCGTCAATACATGGCCAAACCGCCCATCTCCACAGTGGAACTTGTCAATGCTGGAATATCAGTGGCGGATCAGCGGCAGCACATGGAAGATGGACATGCTTGGCGCGAAGGTTTGCTATATCCTTTGCACTGCGTCTGGCCTATGGGATTTTCTTGGTCTTCTTACATAGCCCAAGAAGAGATGCTGAGCGTTTGTCAAGATGCTGGCATACCAACTTCATCTCTCTTGGCTTGTGATTGCGTGACACCTACATCGTTTGAGCTTGTTGCTGCGGTGGCCACCGATGATGTCATGATTTTCAGCGACGCTGGCCCTGGTACCACCTGTGAAGCAGCAAGAGCTTTCGATGCAGCGATGGATGCACGATGCGCAGTCCGAAATCTTAAGAAGGACGTTGACGACGCGCTCTGTGGTACCTGTGTTGGGGTTGACTTAGTAGACGGATACTTTCTGGATGCGCCGGGGGGACGCTACTTGGCCATGATTCTGACATTTCTGCACCTGCACAGATGCAGGGTGGGCACGCCGCGGCAGGTCCACCAGCTCTTTGGGGCGCTGCAATGGTTTGACCTCCTGATCAGGCCAAAGCTATCCGTTTACAGTGCCATCTATGATTTCACGATCAGTGACAGTCCTGATGCTGTACCGCTGCCTGAGCGGGTGTTGGCGGAGCTGGCGTGCAGCCTCTGTCTGGGCATGTTTTGGCGCTGCGACTTGAGAAGGCGTTTTTTGCCGATGCTTGGTGCAACAGATGCCAGCTTATCCTATGGTTTGGGGGCAAGCATTGTGCGTGCCTCGGAAGAAATGGTCCGAACGGTTGCTCGCTGGGCTGAAAAGCAAGGGGCTTTTGTAGTTATGGACGGCGATGCTGCGAAAAGTTTGAGCGCTGAGCGGATGCTGGAGGCACGGTACCTCAATTTGAAGCTTGAGCACTTTTCCGACATCTTCAGTGTTCGCTCCAAATTTCCTGCACACATCAACGTCCTGGAAGGTGAGGCATTCGTGCTTTTCTTGAAGTGGCTTCTGCGGTCCACCAAGCACCACTCGACAAGAGTTGTTGTTCTGCTTGACTCTGCAGTTTTTCTGGGCGCGGCCGCGAAAGGGAGGTCATCTTCACAGTTGAACAGGCTGTTGCGGAAGGTCGCTTCTCTGGCGATGGCTGGAAATCTTCAGCTGCATTTTATCTTTGTCCCCTGCAGCGAAAATCCAGCGGATTTCCCCTCGCGTGGCAAGAAGAGGCGAGCGCGAAAGTGAAGCAGCTCTAGGCTGCACGGAGTTTTTCGGAAGCCCTGCCTTTCTGGCATGATGTGCAAACTTCCGAACTTGCACCCTAGAATTCAATTTTGTCAATTTTGATGGGTGTTCGTGTTGCTGGCGCTCGGCGTCCTACATCCGGGCACGCTGCGGTAGATTCTGCGCGTTCTGGCGCAGAACTGGCTCCGACGGGCAGCTGGAAGATGCTTGGTGCTGATGTTGGGCGCTCGGGCTACTGTGACTTTGCTCCGCTCACAAAGGCCTCAACGGCGCACTGGTTGATGTGATAATCTGCTCTCTGAGACCCACACACACAACTGGTGGAATTCTTTTTGGTTTTGTCGGCAGTGATTTTCTCTCACAGCCAGTGCCGGTGGTCGGGATTGATGATCATTAATGCTGGACCTGAACAAAGCTGGCAAAGTCAGCTGTGGACAGTGGTTGTAGCATGATCAAGTTCTAACCTCTCGGCAATCGCACCCGGTTCACAAAAGATTC